AAAATAGAGCCTTACAAACCTATCAGTTACTATTACAAAGTTGAAACATTCACATCTATTGTGTAATGGGTTCGATTCAGGTCACCTCAACCTTACAGGGACGAAACCTTTTTTAAATAATATATTATCATGGAATGAAAATACGAAAAGTCTTATTACGTGAAAAGTTCAGCTAATGGGATTGTTTTAGGAGGTCTGAGTGAAAAATGAGCAGAGTCATTTCTCGCTTAGCTCAGTTGTATTATAGTACCTTAAAGTTATGATTGTTTTTACAGGCATTAGTAAGTGTAGGAGAGCCATGCTTCGGCACGAATGGGCCGGCTCGACCGGAGTTATACCACGGCCTCACAGAAAACCGATGTGAAATAACGCTTGCGTTGTGTTTCGTCATGTGAATGAGGTTACCGGACGCCTTCCTTAATCTCCCCAACAAACCTCAAATAACTAACCCCCAAAAGGCCGGTAACGCACTTGTAACGCCTTTGGAGTTCCAGGTGTCCATGGACGACGCTGATTCCTTGCCATCAGGTGACCCGTCTGCTCGTTTACCGGCTCATCTCATAAAAAGGCATTCACGTTTTAGACGATAGTAGGAAAGGTATTGTTTTTTTGCCAGCTATTTTTAGTTAATTACAATAGTCATAATTCAAGGGGTAACTTGGTGTACTTATTACAAAAGTTGATCTCAAAAGCATACTTATTATGCTAATTTGGACAGATAACAGAGACTATGATGTCCAGCAATATCACTTCAGCTCATTCGAATCGTAAAAGATAATCATTTATTTATGTAGTGATAAATATGAATACTAATATTGACAACACGACCGATGGGGAACTAGCTGAAGAATAATGGTCCTATATATGATAAGGTCACATTTCTCGTTCATCTTACAATATAGCGAAGACTGAATTCTCTTTCCAGACGTCAAAAAGTCAAAGCTATTAAAGAAACATCTAAACAGTGAGAAGGCTTTTAACATTGTAATCGTGTGTGGCCTGAAAGTTACACAGATTAAAACAAGAAAAGAAATTTCAGCTGAAACTTTTGACAAGATTAAATGTAAGAAATTAATGTTTTTATGGAATGGAGCTTTTCGTAATGTCAAGTTTTGTTTTATTTCTTAGGGGATGGGTAAGTGTAGTTTTGAGAGTTTCATGGAATAGGGGTGAGTCATTATATTTACTGGGTATACTTATGCTTAACATATTACGACTGAGAATGTTGATATGTCGTAACTAACATTAATCTTTATACCTATAGAAATGTATTTAAACACTCGTATTTTTTATAAAAAAAACTAGCTGACCCGGCAAACTTCGTACCGCCTAAAAGTTTTTTCTCACCTTTAAAACCTTCTCTAGACTTCCACGAACCTATCAAGACCAAAATTAGCCAAATCAGTTCAGCCATTCTCGAGTTTTAGCGAGACAAACGAACAGAAATTCATTTTTATTAATAAATAGATATTCAGTTAAATCTAGTTGGTTATTGCGAATAGTTGCTTGAGCAAATACAACTATATTACAAGGCTTTTGGATCTATTGTACTTTTACCCTTGGAAAAAGGTTCTTAGTTCCTCTTTAATTGGTATCAAGATGGCGCCTTTTTTTTTTTTTTTTGAGGGGGGAAAATCATCCAATGACTTCTCCCGCCCGGGTGAGGCGGGAGGGAGTGTCAGACTCTTACTGACTAAAAACCACCCCGTTCCTACTCCTGCACTTCGAGCCGGAGCCCCGGCAACCCGTTATGTCTTCCGCGGCTCCGTATCGGCATCAGCCCTGTTAGGCCCCATCTGTGGTGGTCTGATGGCTCCATCAAGATGGCGCCTAGATTCTTATTTTAATTTGACCAATGTCCTTGCAAAATTTTTGCACTGTAGTCTGATTTAGATCATTCGTTATTAATGTAATCCAATGTTAAGCTGTGGTTGTCTAGTAAGCTATGGTTTATAACCTAACAAACAAAATTCGTATCAGAAATTCTTAATACAATTGAAGGACAAACCATTCGTTAATAAAATCTATAAATCGTAATATTTTATTAATTGAGGTCAAATAGCTTCAGTATACATATCTAAACATTACTAGACTTTTGACTTAATACTAGGTATTATAGAATTTATAACGAATGGTGGTTGTGTTTGAATATTTCATTACATTTTGTCTGACTACTTATTATAAATAACTAATGGATTTTTTAATTTTAAATTCTAAGTAATAGTACAGATATTGGAATTATTACTACTTAACATAACATCACGCCTTTTATCCCCGAAGGTGAGGGCAGAGGTGCACATTACGGCGCTTAATGCCACTGTACAATGTAACAATCACTATTTATGTTTTGAGTCCTATGTAATAGGGGGTGAGCCTATTGCCATGTGGCAATAGTTATGTACCAGGTGTGTAATTATGTCTAATTAAGGTAATTGTGCCTGGTATGTACCAGGTACAATTCCAGACTCCGTGATACTACTATGATGAGACCCCTTGCCCGGCAAGCGCACTTGCGACCACTCGGCCAACGAGGCAGTCTATTCATAAAAATCTAAAATAAACACAAAAATACTAATATCAACATCTTTGCTTGAACTATAAGCATAACTCTTTTGTTATATTTGATGGGCTGACGTTTGAAAGAAAGAAAGAAAGAAAGAAGAAAGAAAAATAATTTATTCGCCACCGACATGGACCACCGAATAACACACAAAATAATAAAAAAAAATAACATTGAAAAACAAAAATAAAGAAATAAAATAAAATAAAAAACAATAAGAACAAAACAATAATAACATACAAAAAACAGCAGTAAAAAATAAAACAACAATGAAGGCAAAAAGCATAAAAAAGCAAAATAAAAAAAAAAATTAAAAAAATACAGGGTGGCAGCATGTCCGCGACGAAAGGGCTCGCCAACTCAGTTTGAGCTGGGCACAGTAAGTACCCAACACTGGTTTTCAGTTGGCACCCCTGCAGTGACGTTTGACCACTATCTCGCCTGGTGGTAAGCGACCATGCGGCCTACGAAGGAGCACGTCTGTCCAAAGGCAACCAATTAACTAGGGCCTTGAAGACACCTAGAATACCCGTCTGAAAACACAGACTGGCGAAGAATTCCACTCCTTAGCAGCACGCAGAAGGAAGCTTGATGCGAAGCGCTTGTTCTCTATAAAACCAAAAAGATGAACCTCAACTTCTAGTACAAAGACCCTGGAACACTTTATAGGGCTTATAAAGTCTGTTACATACATTTCAGACCCTAGAATACAGAAGTACATACAAATTAAGGTACACAACACATTAGCACGTTGTAAACATTAGGTAGGTACGTGTGTTTCGTCTGTTTCCTTACATTTTGTATGTGTATGCTAAGTGGGTCTGGAACCCATCCATTTGTCATCCTGTTGATTATTTGATGACGCATCACTTAGCAAACCTCTCTGATATTTTATTCTCTCCTCCCTAGAGTGACTGCGGTGAAAGGTCAAAATACTGGGGTATTTGTTACACCGTATCTGCTTGTTTAATTTAATAAACTTTATTGTGAACCTTAGTACCTTCATTTTTAGGTCCCTATTGCTTCTTTAACTGTTTCTTTCGTTGGTTATGTTATATGCAGTATAGTTAGAGTGGTTTTATATACTTTGGCGCCCTAGACGGAAATATATGGAGCAGATTTGCGATATATTAAAGAAAGACCAAATTAAAAGTACTGTCAACCGACGAGCCTGCATGAAAAGACTGATGAAGCGAAAGAGGTATGTAAAAATCGTAGCAATTGGCGTACCATAGTATCTGCCTGTTCCCATGGGAAACAGACGTGACGTTATGTATGTATGGCTTTATATGAAGATAAAGATTTCCGATTCGATCACAGGCAGCAATAAAATTGCGTTATACTAAGCGAAACATGATCAAGACTTTGGAATGATGTCTGAATATGGTTATAAATCTTTTCTGATTACATTTATACCGATCAATTATACCTTAAGTACGGGCCTGTGGACTGCGAGCATGGATAGCTCGCCGCCCGACCAGAACCAGACCCGAGCGTACGACGCATCGCATTCCGCGCGCCTCAAAGAGCCATCAGACCACCACAGATGGGGCCCCATAGGGCTGATGACGATACGGAGCCGCGGACAACTTAATGGGTTACAGGGGCTCCGGCTCGAAGTGCAGGAGTAGGAACGGGGTGGTTTTTACCACTGTACTGTGCGCCTCACCCAGGAGGAAAAGTCATTCGATGATTTTCCCCCCTTAAAAATACTGTCCAAGGGCTTATATTGTACCGGGAATAAAATATGTGATGATATTATGTGGTTAAACTGACAAATCTTGTTACGCTTCGGTGTGCGAGTCATCCCTTCATCTGTTGAAAGCATGACGCGGTATGTACCGTATATGTTCTTATACATAATGTGAGCTCTTTAACAAAAGATCCCAATCTTTCTACAAGCCTTAGAAAAAGTGCGGTTTTAAGGCGATGTTGTAAATATTATTTATTATTTGTTATGTACGAGAATATGAATACGAGTATATTTATATTGTAGCTTTATCTGAGACTGCGTAGAGTTCATAATTGTAGTTCCAAGTTAGATACTGGATCTGGAGAGAGATTTTTGTAACTTGGGGAGGTAGTTTTAAGTCTTTTTACGGGGTATGGAGTATCTGATGGTAAGTCATGAAAGCCGTCCATGGACTACCGCACCATCGCTGAATACAAGGGCGTTGCTGGCCATCACACTGCGACACATACAAACGTTGTTCCACGTCGGTTTCCTGTGACTTCACAAATACAGCAGTCAGTCACAGGCCGTGGTGTCAGTCAGGTCCAAGGAGTGTGTCAATCCGTGCTGATTATTGCTTACCCATACGATACGCCTCTAAACATACTTTCCACTGAAATTTTTAACCAATTTCTTGTTGCAACTGTCGTTGACCGATGACCATGGTCACATAGTTAGAAAAAGATAGCAATATGCGTCATAACTTACCAAGTTCAGATCCACAGACACGCGGGATGATCTCCAATATGGCGGAACAGGAGGCGTCTTCGAAGCAGAGCTGCCTCGCAAGCAGGCAGTTCAGGATCGCCATCGTCCCCTTTAGACCGGGCCCTGGGAAAGAAAAAGTGTATTTTAGAACGTGGTACTGTGAAAAAAACTGACGTAATATTATATTTATCGTATTTGAAAGCGTTTGGTGAAAGTATTCACATGATTCAATCTCTTTTTGGTTATTAAATCTGGATTTTAATATACTTTCTGATCATGAGATTTTTCTTTAAAAGCCTTGCCCCACTCTAGGACTCTCTCCTGTGTAGTGGGTGCGTTTACAAACATACAAGTTCACATACACATGACACCCAGACCCGGAACAACAATCTATGGATCACACAAAGAGTTGTTTCGTGCGGGCATTGAGATCGCGACACGTTGCGAGTCAGCCAGTTACCCAGCTACCGCGACAACGATGCAGTCATTGTTAGACATTGCGATCCATAAAGACCACGGAGATTGCATGTAATTATTTTTTAACCAAACTATAGAAATATCAACTGCAAAATATACACAATTTCTATCCAAACATTGATAAAAAATTGGTCAAACTATTTTCGTAACAATACTTATTTTCTACCACTCAACGCAATTTAATTACAGCCCAAGATACCTCCATTATACCACAAACCTAACATCATTGACCACTTATCCAATTACCTACTTTCACAACTACAGTATAAGGTTTAAAATAGAAGACTAAAATTGTCTTTGAAAGAACTATAATTCAAATCTAAAACTGTTAGAAAACATCGTAATTGGAGCAATCGGAGAAGCGAGGGAATATATCCAGGACGCGTATTTTGTAATGCCGATTCAGCGCTTTTTAAGTAACCGGTTGAGATAGCGTTGGGTTGAAGTAGCATAGTTGCGCAATGCGCTTCTTTGAAATTGCCGTATGAGTAGCTCATTGCAATAATTGTAGAGGTCACTACTTTAGACTATAGAAACTAAGCTTAACTTTAGTAAAACTACATCTTTATACACGTGTTCTATGTCAAAGAACATAGACTTCATTATTTATCACCAACGATAGAATTTGTTTTCGTTTGAGGTTATAGAAAGATTACCATTTTTTTAAAAACGTCGCCCCATGCTAAGATTTTCTCTTGTATCATGGGTGCGTTCACAAACATATAAGTCCACATACATATGACACCCAGACCCGAAAAAACACCGTAAGCACGGGCCTGCGGACGGCGAGCACGGGTGACTCGCCGCCCGACCAGAACCAGGCCCAAGCGCGCCTCAAGAAGCCATCAGGGCACAATAGGGCTGATGCCGATATGGAGCCGCGGAAGACTTAACGGGTTGCAGGGGCTCCGGCTGGAAGTGCTAGAGTAGGAACGGGGTGGTTTTTAGTCAGTAGGAGTCTGACACTTCCAATCGCCTCACGGAGGCGGGAGAAGACATTGGAAGATTCTCCTCCCTCAAAAAAAAAAACATATGATTCGTGGGGGATGCACGGCAGCAGCTTGCCACCGCACCAACCGAAGAAGAAGAAAGATAGAAGAGATAAAAATACTGATGCAATAAGTACTTATTTCCCAAAGTACAACAACCCATCATAAATTCCCAACCCATATCCTGTAATAGCAGATTAACTTTAGATTAAGACAGAAATATCGCAACGTAATTGCATTATTAATTTCATACTAAATCGAGCCACGTCGCGTCGCGCCGCCGTGTCGTACTCGCAGTAGTTTCTATTTACGCGGCCGGGATACCAAAATATCCAAGCTACAGAGATTCGTTATCGATCGTCGAATAGATGCACTTTTAAAGTATTCTGACTGGTCTAAATGTTGCTAGGAATACACGATTTTCGTACTTCTATCCGTTTTTATTGGCTGTGGAATATTTGTTCATTTTTTGATTGGTTAGAAATGGCTAAAGGTGTTGTTTTGTGTTCTTGTTTGAAATCGTATATGTTTGTTGGTTTATTGGGAAGATTTTTGGTTTTAAGTGTTATTTCGTATTGGTATATTAGTTGAATTTTTATGAGGTGTGTTTAGTACTTGTTATGTAGTTGATTTTTTATTGGATGTGTTGGTGTATGTTCTGGTAAATAGAAATATTGTAAGATGAGTTAATATGGCGATAGCGTAGACTACCTCGTTGGCCGTGAGGTCGCAAGTGCGACTACTGGGCAAGGGGTCTCGGGTTCGATTCCCGGTTCGGGCATTGTATTACTGGGTTTTTTAAAAAAATCTCAATAGTAGCACGGAGTCTGGAATTGTGCCCGGTATACGGCAATAGGCTCGCCCCCTATTACATAGGACTCATAACGTAATTAGTGAAAAGTGGGTGCTACTTCTGTGTGCACCTCTGCCCTACCCCTTCGGGGATATAACGCGTGGTGTTATGTTATGTGAGTTAATATGGTAAAGTAAGACACAGTTTATTTTAAAACTTACGCAATACTATTGTCACGTATGTCTCTCGTTGGGGTAGGGTAGAGACAGTAGGCTCAAAAACACAAAACCTCTTTTGGTTCTGCCACTCCCCTACATCCATCAATAACTTTACTGCTTAGATATATTTTCAGCCTTATTTCACAATGTGACGAAAAGTCCATCTAAGTGTACTTAGAAGAATGCAAGCATTTCTCTTATCCAACTTAGGAATCAAATCAGATATCTCAAGATTCACAGTCGCTTACATAAATAATCCCACAAGGCAGATACGATATGAGCACAACAGAATAGTGCAGATCCAGAGATAACACCGCCATTTTGAATCCACAGACTAAAAATAAACACATATTTCGAGTCATATTAATGTTTTAATATCCTGTCTCGTTGCGGCATCTGTGGCTGCTGGTGGCGACATCTATCGTCGGTTCGTGATACTAAAATATAAAGTGCATTCAATATGATATCTGGATTCGGATTTAAATGTTTTAGTTGAGATGTTTCGCTAGTTGACTATTGAGTTGGGGATTATGTCACAAATTTTAGGGGTTATAATAATAATAATAAAAATCTTTATTTTCTCAAAAATACGGATGCAAATTATATAATATGTTACAATTAAGAGACTGGTGTCTGTTAAAGGTATAACCTTATTGCAGATCACCAGGCCCGGGTGACCCCCGGAGACATTGAACAATATAAAGTATTTACTTAATTAAAGAAAATGGACAACATTGTATGAGTACGTAATAGGTTGTACCTAATAAATATACGCCATCTTAGTGCGTCACAGTTTCTAGTATTCACATCACAAATATCATTTAACATAGATTTTTTTTTATCCCCCAAAAAGCTAAGCAAAGAATCATTTACAGATTTTAAATTTCTATTGCTTCGTAAACTAAACAAAGAAAACATTAAAGACATGAATGCGATCTCTCCGAACATCGACTTTAAAGGAAATAATTATGTCTTTACATAACATCATCACGCCTTTTATCTCCGAAGGGGTAGGCACATTTCAGCACTTAATACTGTTGTACTTAATGTTACACCCACTTTTCACTATTTATTTATGTTATGAGTCCCATGTAATAGGGGCTGAGCCTATTGCCATATACCGGGCACAATTCCAGACCCCATGCTACTACTGAGAGTATTTAAAAACCCAGTAATACTTTGCTCGACCCGGGAATCGAACCCTAAACCCCTTGATCGGCAGTCGCACTTACGACCACTTGGCTAACGACGCAGTTATCAGTAATTATGTCTTTGATCAAAGAAAATCAATGTTAGGATTTACAAAATAACACGTATATGTATAGATTACTCACAAAACTTTGTGTAATATTGATTGCAAAGTAAAATAAAAGTATGAAACGTGAGAGTGAATAAAGTAAATAAATATACTTTGAGTCGAAGCCCCTAAGAGCTCAAACTGTCAGACAGACGTAAAAACTTTGGTCGAAGTCAATAATTCTGATATTCAACATTTTATTGAAGGTTACACAGTCGATTTACGAATTAATGTCCAGTTGTATAAGTTTGATTTTTGTTTAATATACTTTTTTTTGGATAATGTTCTTTTTTACTTGGAACGTCAGAACTTAACATTTTATTCCGTAGGGAGATGCCCACATCCAGTCACTTATTGTAAGTTATTTTTAAAAGGGTTACTAACCTTATATTGACAGTATTTCCTAAATCAATACACTGAGAAATATTCGATTTGGAGATTGCACTTAACGCTCAAGACATGATACTGCCAGTTGCAGCCTTACAGCTGCCACGACAGCGGTAATACTTGATTATTAATTACACGTTTTTTTAAACATATCCCAAGTTACTTTTTACAAGGGAATCATCATCAGCCTAAAGACTCAGTAGTCTTTAGGGAACCAAGAAGCCTTTGTTCACTGAACACTTCGCCACGTCGAATAAAACGAGAAAATACAACCTTTAAAATCCGCCCCTTACATCAAAAATACCCCAGTATCCAACTACAGGCAAATATTATCACGTCCTTTCGCGTAAATCCAAGTACTCCTCTATTTGAGCTTATACGTTAGCTCTCAAAATACTCTACTTTATTCCTAGCAACCTGTAGACGACCAATGAATTATTTAGCTCGGCTATTTGTGAACAGACTCGGAGCGCTCAATATTTAGGTGGAGTGGGATAGTGGGTTATAAGCGGGTTGTAGGTCTTTTAATAGTGTAAGATATACTTTTTAGTGGTAATGTTATGAGTCCCATGCAAGTCTCATGTAGTAGGGGATGAGGTTATGGCTTCACAAAACAAAGTTCTTATTTTTGTTTATACTTAAAACTTTCGTGAGACATACTAAATATTATGAGTCCGGCTTATTCACGCAACTGCTTGACGAGGAACTCGAATAGTCAGTAGCAGCGTGACAGTCGCCTTTTATCCTCGAAGAGGTAGGCAGAGGTGCACATTATACCACTGTACAATGTAACACCCACTTTTCACTATTTATGTTTTGAGTCCCATGTAAAAAACGAATAACGAATTCAAAATATTTTATAAGATGGAATTTTTATTTTTTTGATCACCATTATCAATCCGATATTGAAAGCGTTACCTAGAAACGCCCAGTGCTGATGAGGCGCTGTTATTGGTTGACAT